AGCACTGCTAACACTGGTAACATGTGTAAGGATTGTGTCAGCTGCTTGACCCTGCTAACATTGGTGAGGTGTGTAAGGATGTGCTCAGCTGCTTGGCACTGCTAACATTGGTGAGGTGTGTAAGGATGTGCAGCTGCTTGACACATGCTGCTAACATTGGTGTGGTGTGTAAGGATGTGCTCAGCTGCTTGACTCAGCTGCTTGGGATGTGCTCAGCTGCTAACATTGGTGAGGTGTGTAAGGATGTGCTCAGCTGCTTGACACTGCTAACATTGGTGAGGTGTGTAAGGATGTGCTCAGCTGCTTGACACTGCTAACATTGGTGAGGTGTGTAAGGATGTGCTCAGCTGCTTGGCACTGCTAACATTGGTGAGGTGTGTAAGGATGTGCTCAGCTGCTTGGCACTGCTAACATTGGTGAGGTGTGTAAGGATGTGCTCAGCTGCTTGACACTGCTAACATTTGTAATCATTTGTAAGGTGTGTAAGGATGTGCTCAGCTGCTTGGCACTGCTAACATTGGTGAGGTGTGTAAGGATGTGCTCAGCTGCTTGGCACTGCTAACATTTGTAATCATTGGTGAGGTGTGTAAGGATGTGCTCAGCTGCTTGGCACTGCTAACATTGGTGAGGTGTGTAAGGATGTGCTCAGCTGCTTGACACTGCTAACATTGGTAAGGTGTGTAAGGATGTGCTCAGCTGCTTGGCCCTGCTAACATTGGTGAGGTGTGTAAGGATGTGCTCAGCTGCTTGACCCTGCTAACATTGGTGAGGTGTGTAAGGATGTGCTCAGCTGCTTGGCACTGCTAACATTGGTGAGGTGTGTAAGGATGTGCTCAGCTGCTTGGTGAGGTGTGTAAGGATGTGCTCAGCTGCTTGGCACTGCTAACATTGGCGAGGTGTGTAAGGATGTGCTCAGCTGCTTGACCCTGCTAACATTGGTGAGGTGTGTAAGGATGTGCTCAGCTGCTTGACCCTGCTAACAATTGTAAGGTGTGTAAGGATGTGCTCAGCTGCTTGACCCTGCTAACAATTGTAAGGTGTGTAAGGATGTGCTCAGCTGCTTGACCCTGCTAACAATTGCAAGGTGTGTAAGGATGTGCTCAGCTGCTTGACCCTGCTAACATTGGTAAGGTGTGTAAGGATGTGCTCAGCTGCTTGACCCTGCTAACATTGGTGAGGTGTGTAAGGATGTGCTCAGCTGCTTGACACTGCTAACATTGGCGAGGTGTGTAAGGATGTGCTCAGCTGCTTGACACTGCTAACATTGGTGAGGTGTGTAAGGATGTGCTCAGCTGCTTGGCCCTGCTAATAATTGTGAGGTGTGTAAGGATGTGCTCAGCTGCTTGACACTGCTAACATTGGCAAGGTGTGTAAGGATGTGCTCAGCTGCTTGACCCTGCTAACAATTGTGAGGTGTGTAAGGATGTGCTCAGCTGCTTGGCCCTGCTAACATTTGTAAGGTGTGTAAGGATGTGCTCAGCTGCTTGACCCTGCTAACATTGGTGAGGTGTGTAAGGATGTGCTCAGCTGCTTGACCCTGCTAACATTGGTGAGGTGTGTAAGGATGTGCTCAGCTGCTTGGCCCTGCCAACAATTGTAAGGTGTGTAAGGATGTGCTCAGCTGCTTGGCACTGCTAACATTTGCAAGGTGTGTAAGGATGTGCTCAGCTGCTTGACCCTGCTAACATTTGTAAGGTGTGTAAGGATGTGCTCAGCTGCTTGGCCCTGCTAACATTTGTAAGGTGTGTAAGGATGTGCTCAGCTGCTTGACCCTGCTAACATTGGTGAGGTGTGTAAGGATGTGCTCAGCTGCTTGACCCTGCTAACATTGGTGAGGTGTGTAAGGATGTGCTCAGCTGCTTGGCACTGCTAACATTTCCAAGGTGTGTAAGGATGTGCTCAGCTGCTTGACCCTGCTAACATTGGTGAGGTGTGTAAGGATGTGCTCAGCTGCTTGGCACTGCTAACATTTGCAAGGTGTGTAAGGATGTGCTCAGCTGCTTGGCACTGCTAACATTTGCAAGGTGTGTAAGGATGTGCTCAGCTGCTTGGCACTGCTAACATTGGTGAGGTGTGTAAGGATGTGCTCAGCTGCTTGGCACTGCTAACATTGGTAAGGTGTGTAAGGATGTGCTCAGCTGCTTGGCATTGCTAACATTTGCAAGGTGTGTAAGGATGTGCTCAGCTGCTTGGCACTGCTAACATTGGTGAGGTGTGTAAGGATGTGCTCAGCTGCTTGACCCTGCTAACATTGGTGAGGTGTGTAAGGATGTGCTCAGCTGCTTGACACTGCTAACATTTGTAATCATTGGTGAGGTGTGTAAGGATGTGCTCAGCTGCTTGACCCTGCAGCCAGCAGTGTTAGGGCTGGCTAGTAAAACCTTTGGGAAAGGAGTGAACAGTGAAATTTAAGTAGCCTGCCAATTGCATGTACAGCCCCCAGGTGAAACCCACCTCCTCGTGGTGCACACCGGAAAACTAAAGCCACGAGGTTTCAGGCTAACGAGGCAATGGCTCGCCTGAAAGGAGACAGGCACCTGGCAGGTCAGATTTGTTCCTGCCCCGGCACGCGACAGGCCTAGCCAGCTGGCAGTGGTGTAATTGATTGCTACTACTCAAGATACACTGGGCTAAAACCTGGTATCAGTGAGATGAAAAAAGAAGAAAAAGAACATTTTTAACCAAGTTTCATTAGGGTGTCTGTAAATTAGGTTCTCTCTTTTCTGTTAGACATATTTTAGAATTCAGATATTTATTTGTGTTAACACTTTAAAGTTCAGCTGCATACTGTACCTGTTCATGTGCCCTGTATCTAGCAACTGTTTTCTTCTGTCTGTAGTCCCAATGCTTGTAACTGCAAACAGTGAAGAGAGGAGACAGGTGTGGTATTCAGGACATGCCAAGATTTGTAGCTCTCTATTGACATCTTTGTCTCTTGGCATCCAGAAACCCCATCTGTTGTGACACATAACACCAAGTTATTTCTCACATCTTCAAACTCCCGTTAATTTCACTGTGAATTGATGTTCATGTTTTTGTTTATCACTGTGAACTGTTGTCCATGTTTGTAGTTGTGTGCGTGTGCCACTGTTTCATTGTTATATTCTTTAGCATTCTTGAGTGTTTAAAAAGAACCTTTCAGAAAAAAAAGGTGTTTTTCAAATTCCATTGAAACACACACATAAAATCTGACACTGAAAATGTTGGTCAAGTTGCTGACCCCACAGTGTTCAATTGAACCATTGTTACTGGTGCATCTGATGAGACTGAATATATTGCTGTCAATCTGTGTGTTTGCCATCTGCACTAGGTTTGGCCTGTGAGAGAGATCACCACAAAATCTGGCAAGAAAACAGCCAAAGTGGATGTTGTTGTCTGTGATGAGACCTGTCCTTCATTTCATCTCACTCTGTAAGTATTGTATTTCTTACTTTGTCTCTTGTCTTGTACACACTATACCTAGGGCTGCAACCCATAAAAGACAGCTGTCTGTAAGTATTGTATTTATCTCTTTGTCTCTTGTCTTGTACACACTATACCTAGGTCAGCAACCCATAAAAGACAGCTGTCTGTAAATCAAGCAAAAGTCCAGAAACATGTCCTACATGTTGTCAGGATTGTGTTTATGATGCCAGCACTGTGTTGTGTAGATCACTGGGCGGTCACTGAGTGATGAGTCAGCTGTGACATTGGACCCAGTTACACATCCATTTATCTTCACTCATCAGGCAGCTTGGTGTCCATAGTTGTCACCAACCAGAAAGCAACTTGAATTCTTCCATGCCCTGTGTTGTCACATGACTCCCAGCAACCATCTTGAAAGATATTACAGTGGAGTGTGTCATTGTTTTACCCACGCGACTGACTGGTGTCAGCCAGCTTAGCTCTCTCTCTCTGTTTGTCTTTCTCTGTGTGTGTGCGAGCAGGCTCATGTAAAAGGACAATGAGGGGTGAGAGACCCACAGAGGGAAGTCATGAAGGAAGAAGTCCTGATGGAAGAGTTAGTAATAGCTGCACATTGTATCTCTGTTTGAGATGACTAACATTGTCACAAATATTCTGCTGATTTGTCTGTTTTGCCATTTTCCAGATGGGACAACTTTGTTCACCTGGTGGAAACATGGATACCTTTAGAAACAGGTTGCAAAAAAGTTGTTTGTCATCCTTGTTTATTCTGTCTGTCTGTGTTCTTCTTTCGCTGAAGAAGTGTTATCTCTGCAGTGTGTTACACACTGTGAACTTTCTGGTCTCTGTTCTCACATGTGTTGCTGTTGTCATTTATCAATGAACCTTGGACTAAGTGCGATTCTTCAGAACTGTGAAGAACAATTACTATAAAATACTCTTTTTTTTTTTTAAATTTACAGTGGTGCAGGGAACACTTTTTTCATTTTTTTCTGACCTTTATTACAAATAGGACAGTGTTTTGAGTTAAGTGTGGTGTTATTTGTGTTGTGTTATGTGAACAGTCTTTTGTTACACAGGAAAAACCATGAAAGACCACTTCACAACGAGGTAATCTGAGAATATTTTCTTTTATTCTGTTCTAGTAGTAAGTTCATTATTCAGGTTTAATCGTGGCTGAACAGGGAACAGTGCAAGCACAGTTCAGCAGAGTTGTCAGTGAAGTCATACAGTTAGGTAGAAGCCTCAGCTTTGATGTCACATGCGTTCATTCTAATTGATCAGCATGCTATTTTCTGTGATTGCTCATCATCTTTTCACCTGATCTGATGTTGGATGTGTTCTTTCTGATTGATCAGCATGCTATTTTCTGTGATTGCTCATCATCTTTTCACCTGATCTGATGTTGGATGTGTTCTTTCTGATTGATCAGCATGCTATTTTCTGTGATTGCTCATCGTCTTTTCACCTGATCTGATGTTGGATGTTTTTTTTAGATGTAACATGTAGTCTCTCTGAATGACCAGCATGCATGTACTCTTTCAGTCATTTTTGCAGCTGATGTTAAAATCACCTTCAGTGAATTTCGCTCAACCATGGTGGCAGGCACTAGCTCAAAAACAATTGTGACAGTAGACCCAGGTAAGTGTCCTAGCATTCCTTGTGTACCTGTGGTTGTTGTCTCAGACCTGGACTAGATGCAGCAGCGCACTGTGTGACAACTGTGTCCTTGTTTTTGTATTTTTGGCTTTTAGCCAGTCAAGTCTTGTGTCAGCAGTGTTGTCATTTCTTGCCGGGAAACTCAAACTTTCTCAGTTTGTATGGCTGGATTGGTGCACCTGTTAAGTGTTGCACCTCCAGTGTGAGGTTTTGGTTCACACGCTGCATCTTATACTTGTTGAGATGTCTGCAGAGAAAATGTTGCTTTGAGAAACTACTGATGTGAAGAAAACACTCATTTGTGAGGACTCAGATGGACTGTTGCCTAACAGGTCAGATGTATGACTTGTCTCACAGGTCAAATCTATGACTGTTGCCTCACAGGTCAGATCTATGATTGTTGCCTCACAGGTCAGATGATCTAAATCTGAATTCAGTGCACAAGGAAAACACATAGAATCAGTTTGAGTTATGGCGTCTGTGCTAAATGGTTTTGTCAGCAAACAGAACGTGAGACAGACTGGGCATAGTTAGAGGCTATATGATCTCTCAGTACAGTCCAGGCTAGACTGACTGGGCATAGTTAGAGGCTGTATGATCTCTCAGTACAGTTCAGGCTAGACTGACTGGGCATAGTTAGAGGCTGTATGATCTCTCAGTACAGCTGAGCTGGCTTGATGGCTCAGGTAGAACTCATTAACAACAGCTGTACAAGCATGCATGGTTATCTCATGTAACATGTTGAGGGTCACTGTCTTATGTAACATGTTGAGGGACCGTGTCACTGTCTTATGTAACATGTTGAGGGACCGTGTCACTGTCTTATGTAACATGTTGAGGGACCGTGTCACTGTCTTATGTAACATGTTGAGGGACCGTGTCACTGTCTTATGTAACATGTTGAGGGACCGTGTCACTGTCTCATGTAACATGTTGAGGGACCATGTCACTGTCTCATGTAACATGTTGAGGGACCGTGTCACTGTCTTATGTAACATGTTGAGGGACCGTGTCACTGTCTTATGTAACATGTTGAGGGACCATGTCACTGTCTTATGTAACATGTTGAGGGACCATGTCACTGTCTTATGTAACATGTTGAGGGACCATGTCACTGTCTTATGTAACATGTTGAGGGGCCATGTCACTGTCTCATGTAACATGTTGAGGGACCGTGTCACTGTCTTATGTAACATGTTGAGGGACCGTGTCACTGTCTTATGTAACATGTTGAGGGACCGTGTCACTGTCTTATGTAACATGTTGAGGGACCGTGTCACTGTCTTATGTAACATGTTGAGGGACCGTGTCACTGTCTGTAACATGTTGATGTAACACTGTCTTATGTAACATGTTGAGGGACCATGTCACTGTCTCATGTAACATGTTGAGGGACCGTGTCACTGTCTTATGTAACATGTTGAGGGACCGTGTCACTGTCTTATGTAACATGTTGAGGGACCGTGTCACTGTCTTATGTAACATGTTGAGGGACCATGTCACTGTCTTATGTAACATGTTGAGGTCACCTCATGTCACTGTTGAGAGGGCCATGTCACTGTCATGTTGTTGAGGTACCATGTCACTGTCTTATGTAACATGTTGAGGGACCGTGTCACTGTCTCATGTAACATGTTGAGGGACCGTGTCACTGTCTCATGTAACATGTTGAGGGACCGTGTCACTGTCTTATGTAACATGTTGAGGGACCATGTCACTGTCTCATGTAACATGTTGAGGGACCATGTCACTGTCTCATGTAACATGTTGAGGGACCGTGTCACTGTCTCATGTAACATGTTGAGGGACCATGTCACTGTCTCATGTAACATGTTGAGGGACCATGTCACTGTCTCATGTAACATGTTGAGGGACCATGTCACTGTCTCATGTAACATGTTGAGGGACCATGTCACTGTCTCATGTAACATGTTGAGGGACCGTGTCACTGTCTCATGTAACATGTTGAGGGACCATGTCACTGTCTCATGTAACATGTTGAGGGACCATGTCACTGTCTCATGTAACATGTTGAGGGACCATGTCACTGTCTCATGTAACATGTTGAGGGTCACTGTCTCATGTAACATGTTGAGGGTCACTGTCTCATGTAACATGTTGAGGGTCACTGTCTCATGTAACATGTTGAGGGACCATGTCACTGTCTCATGTAACATGTTGAGGGACCGTGTCACTGTCTCATGTAACATGTTGAGGGTCCATGTCACTGTCTCATGTAACATGTTGAGGGACCATGTCACTGTCTCATGTAACATGTTGAGGGACCGTGTCACTGTCTCATGTAACATGTTGAGGGACCGTGTCACTGTCTCATGTAACATGTTGAGGGTCACTGTCTCATGTAACATGTTGAGGTACCATGTCACTGTCTCATGTAACATGTTGAGGGACCATGTCACTGTCTCATGTAACATGTTGAGGGACCGTGTCACTGTCTCATGTAACATGTTGAGGGACCGTGTCACTGTCTCATGTAACATGTTGAGGTACCATGTCACTGTCTCATGTAACATGTTGAGGGTCACTGTCTCATGTAACATGTTGAGGGACTGTGTCACTGTCTCATGTAACATGTTGAGGGTCACTGTCTCATGTAACATGTTGAGGGACCGTGTCACTGTCTCATGTAACATGTTGAGGGACCGTGTCACTGTCTCATGTAACATGTTGAGGGACCATGTCACTGTCTCATGTAACATGTTGAGGGACCGTGTCACTGTCTCATGTAACATGTTGAGGGACCATGTCACTGTCTCATGTAACATGTTGAGGGACCATGTCACTGTCTCATGTAACATGTTGAGGGGGTCACCATGTCACTGTCTCATGTAACATGTTGAGGGACCATGTCACTGTCTCATGTAACATGTTGAGGGACCATGTCACTGTCTCATGTAACATGTTGAGGGACCATGTCACTGTCTCATGTAACATGTTGAGGTACCATGTCACTGTCTCATGTAACATGTTGAGGGACCATGTCACTGTCTCATGTAACATGTTGAGGGACCATGTCACTGTCTCATGTAACATGTTGAGGTGTTGTGTCACTGTCTCATGTAACATGTTGAGGGACCATGTCACTGTCTCATGTAACATGTTGAGGTACCATGTCACTGTCTCATGTAACATGTTGAGGTACCGTGTCACTGTCTCATGTAACATGTTGAGGTACCATGTTACTGTCTCATGTAACATGTTGAGGTGCTGTGTCACTGTCTCATGTAACATGTTGAGGTACCATGTCACTGTCTCATGTAACATGTTGAGGTACCATGTCACTGTCTCATGTAACGTGTTGAGGTGGCCTGTCACTGTCTCTTGTAATATGTTGAGGTGGCCTGTCACTGTCTCTTGTAACATGTTGAGGTGTCACTGTCATGTAACATGTTGAGGTACCATGTCACTCATGTAACATGTTGAGGTGACCATGTCACTGTCTCATGTAACATGTTGAGGTGGCATGTCACTGTCTCATGTAACATGTTGAGGTGGCGTGTCACTGTCTCATGTAACATTCTGTCACTGTCTCATGTAACATGTTGAGGTGGCATGTCACTGTCTCATGTAACATGTTGAGGTGGCATGTCACTGTCTCTTGTAACATGTTGAGGTGGCATGTCACTGTCTCTTGTAACATGTTGAGGTGGCGTGTCACTGTCTCATGTAACATGTTGAGGTGGCATGTCACTGTCTCATGTAACATGTTGAGGGACCATGTCACTGTCTCATGTAACATGTTGAGGGACTATGTCACTGTCTCATGTAACATGTTGAGGGACCATGTCACTGCTTTATGTCACATGTTAAGGCGCTGTGTCACTGTCTCTTGTAACATGTTGAGGGACTATGTCACTGCCTTATGTCACATGTTGAGGTGCTGTGTCACTGTCTCATGTAACATGCTGAGGTGCTGTGTCACTGTCTCATGTAACATGTTGATGTTCTGTGTCTCTCACCTGCTTTCAGACACACCTGAAGCACACAGCCTGCGCCAGTTTGGCCTGCATCACAGCTCTCTCTTGTCACCTGAACTGGATTTTGCTGACAACAAAGACCCGGACGGTAATGTTCTCTATCTGAGACGCATTCTAGTTTCTACATTATATAAGGGCTGAATGGCTAACACAAGCAGACCAGGCTACCATTGTTTTGTCACATGAGAAAATGATCAGTAATCTGGCTTTCTTGGATTAAGAAGACAAGCTAGGAACATCAAGATGAAGACACTATTCTTTGTGTGTGTATGGAGATGATATTGACAGGTCACAAGACTATAAATATCTTAGTATCCACTTTGATAGATGTCTATCCTTCAGATATCACAGCGGTGGTGTCATTAAAAAAGATACCAAAGACCTGGCAATGCCTGGGGTGATGGTAACAGCTAAGATGAAACAAAGACCTGGCAATGCTTGGGCTGATGGTAACAGCTAAGATGGAACAAAGACCTGGCATTGCCTGGGCTGATGGTAACAGCTAAGATGGAACAAAGACCTGGCAACGCCTGGGATGATGGTAGCAGCTAAGATGAAACAAAAACCTGGCAATGCCTGGGGTGATGGTAGCAGCTAAGATGGAACAAAGACCTGGCAACGCCTGGGGTGATGGTAACAGCTAAGATGGAACAAAGACTTGGCAATGCCACTGGCTGATGTAAACAGCTAAGATGGAACAAAGACCTGGCAATGCCTGAGGTGATGGTAGCAGCTAAGATGGAACAAAGACCTGGCAATGCCTGGGGTGATGGTAACAGCTAAGATGGAACAAAGACTTGGCAATGCCCAGGCTGATGGTAACAGCTAAGATGGAACAAAGACCTGGCAATGCCTGAGGTAATGGTAGCAGCTAAGATGGAACAAAGACCTGGCAATGCCTGGGGTGATGGTAACAGCTAAGATGAAACAAAGACCTGGCAATGCCCAAGCTGATGGTAACAGCTAAGATAGAACAAAGACCTGGCGACACCTGGGGTGATGGTAGCAGCTAAGATGGAACAAAGACCTGGCAATGCCTGGGCTGTTTGTAACATCTAAGATGGAACAAAGACTTGCTGGAAGCTTCATTACGAGTTTGGTGCTCTCAGTGAAGTCTATGGGCTTGGCCTCATAATCAGCAGATATTGAAAAGCTTGAACAGAGTGGACAATGGAGTGATAAAACTGATCCTTGGGTGTATAAGAGACACCTTGTGTCGCACCATGCAGTATATCCTCGACCTGTCGGACGTGGTTGCTAGACACAAGCTGATGTCTTGTTGCCAGTGGAGACCATCACAGACAACAGGAGACAAGTGTTGGGTTAGATCATGTGATGTTTTTTGCTAGAACAAGTTGTCTTTCTTATGTAGTGAAAACAAGCTGATGTCTTTTTGCCAGTGGAGACCATCACCAATGTGTTGACTGTGAGAGCAGCACAAGCTCTCCAACAGGATGTCAGCAGCTCTGGACAGTCTGGCTATGGTGTGATGTTTGCCTTCTTGTCTCAGTTTGACGTGGATGCTGACACCAGCACGGTGTTGAAGCAAGTCTGGTAGGTGTGTGTTGTTTGTCCTCCTCTCTCAGTTGGTGACACCAGCACGGTGTTGAAGCAAGTCTGGTAGGTGTGTGTTGTTTGTCCTCCTCTCTCAGTTTAATGTGGATGCTGACACCAGCACGGTGCTGAAGCAAGTCTGGTAGGTGTGTGTTGTTTGTCCTCCTCTCTCAGTTTGACGTGGATGCTGACACCAGCATGGTGTTGAAGCAAGTCTGGTAGGTGTGTGTTGTTTGTCCTCCTCTCTCAGTTTGACAAAGACCTGCTGACACCAGCTGTTGAAGCAAGTCTGGTAGGTGTGTGTTGTTTGTCCTCCTCTCTCAGTTTGGGATGACGCTGACACCAGCACGATGGAACAAGTCTGGTAGGTGCCTGTGTTGTTGTGGTAACAGCTCAGTTGCTGACACCAGCACGGTGCTGAAGCAAGTCTAGTAGCAGCTAAGTGTGTTTGTCCTTCTCTGCTCAGGCTGCTGACACCAGCAAGTGCTGAACAAAAACTGGTAGGTGTGTGGTGATTGTCCTCCTCTCTCAGTTGCTGACACCAGCACGGTGTTGAAGCAAGATCTGGTAGGTGTGATTGTTTTTGACCCTCCTCTGCCAGTTTAATGTGGCATGCTGAGACCCAGCACGGACTTGATGCAAGTCTCATAGGTGTGTGATGTTTGTCCTGCTCTCTCAGTCTTGACGTGGATGCTGACACCAGCACGGTGTTGAAGCAAGTCTGGTAGGTGTGGACATGTTTGAGTCCTGCTGATCCTCAGTTGCATAAGTGGATGCTGACACCAGCACAGTGTCTGAAGCAAGTCTCCTAGGTGTGTGTGGTTGCTAGACACAAGCTCTCTCAGTTGCTGACACCAGCACAGTGTTGAGAGACAAGTGTTGGGTTAGGTCATGTGATGTTTTGTCCTGCTCTCTCAGTTGCTGACACCAGCACGGTGCTGAAAACAAGTCTGATAGTCTTTTGCCAGTTTGTCCTCCTTTCTCAGTTTGACGTGGAGCGCTGAAGCACCCAGCACGGTGCTGCAAGCTCTGGAAGTCTGGTAGGTGATGTGTTCTTGTCTTCTCTCTCAGTTGCTGACACCAGCACGGTGTTGAAGCAAGTCTGGTAGGTGTGTGTTGTTTGTCCTTCTCTCTCAGTTGCTGACACCAGCACGGTGCTGAAGCAAGTCTGGTAGGTGTGTGATGTTTGTCCTGCTCTCTCAGTTTGACGTGGATGCTGACACCAGCACGGTGTTGAAGCAAGTCTGGTAGGTGTGTGTTGTTTGTCCTCCATCTCAGTTGCTGACACCAGCATGGTGCTGAAGCAAGTCTGGTAGGTGTGTGTTGTTTGTCCTTCTCTCTCAGTTTAATGTGGATGCTGACACCAGCCTTGTACTGAAGCAAGTCTCCAAGGTGTTTGTGTCTCTTTATGTTTTACAGCATGGATGAACATTAAGGGAGGCTAGTCTGGCTAATGTGTCTAACAGAGTTGTGTACCAAACTGAGATATTTCTCTGTGACCAGCACTAACATGGACCTGTGTCAAGTGATCAGTGACGACTGAAGATTGACTTTTCTCTCCTAGAAGTATTTACATAGACAGACTGTCTAGAAGTCACTGCCTGAATTAGTGGCAGCCCTGTGTGCAGCCCTGTGTGCTGCGTTTTTATTATGGAATGCCTTTCATTTGTACAGCAGTTGAGTCATAGTATTCAATATGGCCGGTAGATGTTTTACAAGTGGGCTGGTGAAATACCTTATACAATAATTGTACATGTGCATAGCCAACTTATCATGGGCAGCTACTGCCATCAATGACAAACTGCATTTCTGGTGGCGAATTTTGGCTTCGGCGCCTCTAGCAACTGCTGTGTGCATTTACTGTGTGCGCAAATTTCTGGACTGTGTCAGGATAGTTGTTTGTTCCCAAGTTCTTCAAATGGAACAGTCAGGATTTGATTAAGTTTAGGAATAATTTGTTGTTTCTTTAAAAGGGACTTGGTTTCATCAGAGATGCCTCTTGGTGATCTAGCCATTTGACCACTGGGTATTGATCACAACTGACCAGGACTCCAAGTTCCTTCTGTTTCACAGGATTGTAAAGATGCATTTTTTAAACAAAATTTAAAGAAAAAAGATTATATTTTACACAGAAATCTAATGGGACAAAAGGGATATACCAGATTCTCTACTTGTTAATGACATTGTATATTCTGTACCTCTGTTCTACCAAATTATTTATCTGTGTTGTGAATTGTTAGTGTCCTGTAGCTACCTGCACCACTCTACCTCAACACTTACACTGTAGTGATGTTCCCATGTTCTGTATCTACCTTCTCTACCTCAACACTTACATTGTAGTGATGTTCTTATGTTCTGTATCTACCTTCTCTACCTCAACACTTACACTGTAGTGATGTTCCCATGTTCTGTATCTACCTTCTCTACCTCAACACTTACATTGTAGTGATGTTCTTATGTTTTGTATCTACTTTCTCTACCTCAACACTTACATTGTAGTGATGTTCTTATGTTTTGTATCTACCTTCTCTACCTCAACACTTACACTGTAGTGATGTTCCCATGTTCTGTATCTACCTTCTCTACCTCAACACTTACATTGTAGTGATGTTCCCATGTTCCTGTATCTACCTTCTCTACCTCAACACTTACACTGTAGTGATGTTCCCATGTTCCGTATCTACCTTCTCTACCTCAACACTTACATTGTAGTGATGTTCTTATGTTTTGTATCTACTTTCTCTACCTCAACACTTACACTGTAGTGATGTTCCCATGTTCCGTATCTACCTTCTCTACCTCAACACTTACACTGTAGTGATGTTCCCATGTTCCGTATCTACCTTCTCTACCTCAACACTTACATTGTAGTGATGTTCCCATGTTTTGTATCTACCTTCTCTACCTCAACACTTACACTGTAGTGATGTTCCTATGTTCCGTATCTACCTTCTCTGTACCTCTAACTTCTCTACATCAACACTAGTGATGTTGTTCCCATGTTCTGTAACTCTGTTTTGTAGCTACCTTCTCTACCTCAACACTTACACTGTAGTGATGTTCCCATGTTCTGTAACTCTGTTTTGTAGCTACCTTCTCTACCTCAACACTTACATTGTAGTGATGTTCTTATGTTTTGTATCTACTTTCTCTACCTCAACACTTACATTGTAGTGATGTTCTTATGTTTTGTATCTACTTTCTCTACCTCAACACTTACATTGTAGTGATATTCCCATGTTCCGTATCTACCTTCTCTACCTCAACACTTACATTGTAGTGATGTTCTTATGTTTTGTATCTACTTTCTCTACCTCAACACTTACATTGTAGTGATATTCCCATGTTCCGTATCTACCTTCTCTACCTCAACACTTACATTGTAGTGATGTTCCCATGTTCCGTATCTACCTTCTCTACCTCAACACTTACACTGTAGTGATGTTCCCATGTTCCGTATCTACCTTCTCTACCTCAACACTTACATTGTAGTGATGTTCCCATGTTCCGTATCTACCTTCTCTACCTCACTACTTACATTGTAGTGATGTTCTTATGTTCTGTATCTACCTTCTCTACCTTAACACTTACACTGTAGTGATGTTCCCATGTTCTGTATCTACCTTCTCTACCTTAACACTTACACTGTAGTGATGTTCCCATGTTCTGTATCTACCTTCTCTACCTTAACACTTACACTGTAGTGATGTTCCTGTGTTCTGTATCTACCGTCTCTACCTCAACACTTACACTGTAGTGATGTTCCCATGTTCTGTATCTACCTTCTCTACCTCAACACGTACACTGTAGTGATGTTTCCATGTTCTGTATCTACCTTCTCTACCTCAACATGTACACTGTAGTGATGTTCCCATGTTCTGTATCTACCTTCTCTACCTCAACACGTACACTGTAGTGATGTTCCCATGTTCTGTATCTACCTTCTCTACCTCAACACTTACACTGTAGTGATGTTCCCATGTTCTGTATCTACCTTCTCTACCTCAACACTTACACTGTAGTGATGTTCCCATGTTCTGTATCTACCTTCTCTACCTCAACACGTACACTGTAGTGATGTTCCCATGTTCTGTATCTACCTTCTCTACCTCAACACGTACACTGTAGTGATGTTCCCATGTTCTGTATCTACCTTCTCTACCTCAACACGTACACTTTAGTGATGTTCCCATGTTCTATATCTACCTTCTCTACCTCGAAACTTACACTGTAGTGATGTTCCTATGTTATGTAACTCTATTCTGTATCTATCTTCTCTACCTCAACACTTACACTGTAGTGATGTTCCCATGTTCTGTATCTACCTTCTCTACCTCAACACTTACACTGTAGTGATGTTCCCATGTTTTGTATCTATCTTCTCTACCTCAACACTTACATTGTAGTGATGTTCCCATGTTCTAAATCTACCTTCTCTACCTCAACACTTACACTGTAGTGATGTTCCCATGTTCTATATCTACCTTCTCTACCTCAACACTTACACTGTAGTGATGTTCCCATGTTCTGTATCTACCTTCTCTACCTCAACACTTACACTGTAGTGATGTTCCTATTATTATTTAACTCTGTTCTGTACCTTGGATGTTTATTCTAAGGCTGTGTTACCAGTGTTTTATGTGTGGATACTGGGTTGGATGTTTATTCTAAGGCTGTGTTGCCAGTGTTTTATGTGTGGATACTGGGTTGGATGTTTATTCTAAGGCTGTGTTGCCAGTGTTTTATGTGTGGATACTGGGTTGGATGTTTATTCTAAGTCTGTGTTGCCAGTGTTTTATGTGTGGATACTGGGTTGGATGTTTATTCTAAGTCTGTGTTGCCAGTGTTTTATGTGTGGATACTGGGTTGTGATGTTTATTCTAAGGCTGTGTTGCCAGTGTTTTATGTGTGGATACTGGGTTGGATGTTTATTCTAAGTCTGTGTTGCCAGTGTTTTATGTGTGGATACTGGGTTGGATGTTTATTCTAAGGCTGTGTTGCCAGTGTTTTATGTGTGGATACTGGGTTGGATGTTTATTCTAAGGCTGTGTTGCCAGTGTTTTATGTGTGGATACTGGGTTGGATGTTTATTCTAAGTCTGTGTTGCCAGTGTTTTATGTGTGGATACTGGGTTGGATGTTTATTCTAAGGCTGTGTTGCCAGTGTTTTATGTGTGGATACTGAGTTAGATGTTTTTAGTTCCAGGTGTCGTAGACGTGTTTATGAAAGTTCAGACTACAAGTGTACCAACTCCAGTTGTACAGGTGAACACACAGCGCATGATGAACCACCTGATATGGAATACAGGTGCGTCTCTTTGAATGTTTGAATATTGTGTATTGACACGAGCGCACACTCAAGGTTAATTTCAGCTGGACCTGTGTAAGCCATTGTTGAGTTTGTTAAATGAGATGCCAATGGTTGGCTGGTCAGTTTACATGTATAGTAGTGTTTGTTGAATGAGATGACAATGGTTGGCTGGTCAGTTTACATGTGTTGTAGTGTTTGTTGAATGAGATGACAATAGTTGGCTGGTCAGTTTACATGTCTCTGTTGTAGTGTTTGTTGAATGAGATGACAATGGTTGGCTGGTCAGTTTACATGTGTTGTAGTGTTTGTTAAATGAGATGCCAATGGTTGGCTGGTCAGTTTACATGTATAGTAGTGTTTGTTGAATGAGATGACAATGGTTGGCTGGTCAGTTTACATGTATAGTAGTGTTTGTTGAATGAGATGCCAATGGTTGGCTGGTCAGTTTACATGTCTCTGTTGTAGTGTTTGTTAAATGAGATGCCAATGGTTGGCTGGTCAGTTTACATGTATCGTAATGTTTGTTTAATGAGATGCCAATGGTTGGCTGGTCAGTTTACATGTCTCTGTTGTAGTGTTTGTTGAATGAGATGCCGATGGTTAGCTGGTCAGTTTACATGTCTCTGTTGTAGTGTTTGTTGAATGAGATGCCGATGGTTAGCTGGTCAGTTTACATGTCTCTGTTGTAGTGTTTGTTGAATGAGATGCCAATGGTTGGCTGGTCAGTTTACATGTGTCGTGTTTGTTGAATGAGATGCCAATGGTTGGCTGGTCAGTTTACATCTGGCTGATGTAGTGTTTGTTGAATGAGATGACAAAGGTTGGCTGGTCAGTTTACATGTCTCTGTTGTAGTGTTTGTTGAATGAGATGCCGATGGTTAGCTGGTCAGTTTACATGTCTCTGTTGTAGTGTTTGTTGAATGAGATGCCGATAGTTAGCTGGTCAGTTTACATGTCTCTGTTCTAGTGTTTGTTGAATGAGATGCCAATGGTTGGCTGGTCAGTTTACATGTGTCGTGTTTGTTGAATGAGATGCCAATGGTTGGCTGGTCAGTTTACATCTGGCTGATGTAGTGTTTGTTGAATGAGATGACAAAGGTTGGCTGGTCAGTTTACATGTGGCTGATGTAGTGTTTGTTGAATGAGATGACAATGGTTGGCTGGTCAGTTTACATTTATCGTAGTGTTTGTTGAATGAGATGCCAATGGTTGGCTGGTCAGTTTACATGTGGCTGATGTAGTGTTTGTTGAATGAGATGACAATGGTTGGCTGGTCAGTTTACATCTGGCTGATGTAGTGTTTGTTGAATGAGATGACAATGGTTGGCTGGTCAGTTTACATGTGTTGTAGTGTTTGTTGAATGAGATGCCAATGGTTGGCTGGTCAGTTTACATGTCTCTGTTATAGTGTTTGTTGAATGAGATGCCATTAGTTGGCTGGTCAGTTTACATGTGGCTGATGTAGTGTTTGTTGAATGAGATGACAATGGTTGGCTGGTCAGTTTACATGTGTTGTAGTGTTTGTTGAATGAGATGCCATTAGTTGGCTGGTCAGTTTACATGTGGCTGATGTAGTGTTTGTTGAATGAGATGACAATGGTTGGCTGGTCAGTTTACATGTGGCTGATGTAGTGTTTGTTGAATGAGATCCCGATAGTTGGCTGGTCAGTTTACATGTGTTGTAGTGTTTGTTGAATGAGATGCCATTAGTTGGCTGGTCAGTTTACATGTGTTGTAGTGTTTGTTGAATGAGATGCCGATGGTTGGCTGGTCAGTTTACATGTGTCGTGTTTGTTGAATGAGATGACAATGGTTGGCTGGTTAGTTTACATGTATCGTAGTGTTTGTTGAATGAGATGACAATGGTTGGCTAGTCAGTTTACATGTGTCGTAGTGTTTGTTGAATGAGATGACAATGGTTGGCTGGTCAGTTTACATGTCTCTGTTGTAGTGTTTGTTGAATGAGATGACAATGGTTGGCTGGTCAGTTTACATGTCTCTGTTGTAGTGTTTGTTGAATGAGATGCCAATGGTTGGCTGGTCAGTTTACATGTGTTGTAGTGTTTGTTGAATGAGATGACAATGGTTGGCTGGTCAGTTTACATGTCTCTGTTGTAGTGTTTGTTGAATGAGATGCCAATAGTTGGCTGGTCAGTTTACATGTCTCTGTTGTAGTGTTTGTTGAATGAGATGACAATGGTTGGCTGGTCAGTTTACATGTCTCTGTTGTAGTGTTTGTTGAATGAGATGACAATGGTTGGCTGGTCAGTTTACATGTCTCTGTTGTAGTGTTTGTTGAATGAGATGACAATGGTTGGCTGGTCAGTTTACATGTCTCTGTTGTAGTGTTTGTTGAATGAGATGACAATGGTTGGCTTTTCAGTTTACATGTATCGTAGTGTTTGTTGAATGAGATGACAATGGTTGGCTGGTCAGTTTACATGTCTCTGTTGTAGTGTTTGTTGAATGAGATGACAATGGTTGGCTGGTCAGTTTACATGTCTCTGTTGTAGTGTTTGTTGAATGAGATGACAATGGTTGGCTGGTCAGTTTACATGTCTCTGTTGTAGTGTTTGTTGAATGAGATGACAATGGTTGGCTGGTCAGTTTACATGTATCGTAGTGTTTGTTGAATGAGATGACAATGGTTGGCTGGTCAGTTTACATGTCTCTGTTGTAGTGTTTGTTGAATGAGATGACAATGGTTGGCTGGTCAGTTTAAATGTCTCTGTTGTAGTGTTTGTTGAATGAGATGCCAATAGTTGGCTGGTCAGTTTACATGTCTCTGTTGTAGTGTTTGTTGAATGAGATGCCAATAGTTGGCTGGTCAGTTTACATGTCTCTGATGTAGTGTTTGTTGAATGAGATGCCAATGGTTGGCTTGTCAGTTTACATGTATCGTAGTGTTTGTTGAATGAGATGCCAATAGTTGGCTGGTCAGTTTACATGTCTCTGTTGTAGTGTTTGTTGAATGAGATGCCGTTAGTTGGCTGGTCAGTTTACATGTCTCTGTTGTAGTGTTTGTTGAATGAGATGCCAATAGTTGGCTGGTCAGTTTACATGTCTCTGATGTAGTGTTTGTTGAATGAGATGACAATGGTTGGCTGGTCAGTTTACATGTATCGTAGTGTTTGTTGAATGAGATGCCAATGGTTGGCTGGTCAGTTTACATGTATCGTAGTGTTTGTTGAATGAGATGCCAATGGTTGGCTGGTCAGTTTACATGTATCGTAGTGTTTGTTGAATGAGATGACAATGGTTGGCTGGTCAGTTTACATGTGGCTGATGTAGTGTTTGTTGAATGAGATGCCGATGGTTAGCTGGTCAGTTTACATGTCTCTGTTGTAGTGTTTGTTGAATGAGATGCCGTTAGTTGGCTGGTCAGTTTACATGTCTCTGTTGTAGTGTTTGTTGAATGAGATGCCAATGGTTGGCTGGTCAGTTTACATGTATCGTAGTGTTTGTTGAATGAGATGACAATGGTTGGCTGGTCAGTTTACATGTGGCTGATGTAGTGTTTGTTGAATGAGATGACAATGGTTGGCTGGTCAGTTTACATGTCTCTGTTGTAGTGTTTGTGAATGTCTAGGATATGTCTCAGATCTAATGAATATTGATTGTTTGATTTTGTCTAGTTCAGCATCATTTGATGTTGATTTATTCTCCAACAGTATCACAGTCAGTCTGACAGACCACACTGGCAGCTTGGAGTTGTGCCACCTGTTGCCAGATGTTGCTGAGCAGATGTTGGGCTGTAAAGTAAGCATGTGTCTCTGGGTGTTTGTGTGAGTCGTATACTGTGATCGGTGGCTATTTGATTCGTCTGTTGTGTCTGTTTGACTTGTGAATGATGTCTGTGAGTGTAAGACTCTTGTACTGTGTTTGAACTGAGTACTGTGTATTTGACTTGAGCACTATGTCTGTAGGTGTTTGTCTCATGTACTGTATCTGTTTCACTTGGGTACTATGTCTGTAGGTGTTTGACTCATGTACTAAGTCTGTTTCACATGGGTACTGTGTCTGTGGGTGTTTGACTCATGTACTATGTCTGTTTCACTTGGGTACTGTGTCTGTAGGTGTTTGACTCATGTAATTTATCTGTTTCACATGGGTACTGTGTCTGTAGGTGTTTGACTCATGTACTATATCTGTTTCACTTGGGTACTATGTCTGTAGGTGTTTGACTCATGTACTATGTCTGTTTCACTTGGGTACTGTGTCTGTAGGTGTTTGACTCATGTAATTTATCTGTTTCACTTGGGTACTGTGTCTGTAGGTGTTTGACTCATGTACTATGTCTGTTTCACTTGGGTACTATGTCTGTAGGTGTTTGACTCATGTACTATATCTGTTTCACTTGGGTACTATGTCTGTAGGTGTTTGACTCATGTACTATATCTGTTTCACTTGGGTACTATGTCTGTAGGTGTTCTCATGTACTGTATCTGTTTCACTTGGGTACTGTGTCTGTAGGTGTTTGACTCATGTACTATATCTGTTTCACTTGGGTACTGTGTCTGTGGGTGTTTGACTCATGTACTATGTCTGTTTCACTTGGGTACTATGTCTGTAGGTGTTTGACTCATGTAATATATCTGTTTCACTTGGGTACTGTGTCTGTAGGTGTTTGACTCATGTACTATGTCTGTTTCACTTGGGTACTGTGTCTGTAGGTGTTTGACTCATGTACTATATCTTTTTCACTTGGGTACTGTGTCTGTGGGTGTCTGACTCATGCATTGTGCCTGTCTGTTTTGCATACTGTGTGTGTGGGTGTTTGACTCACTGTGTCGGCATAAGTGGCTTGGCTGTTGCAAACATGCTTCGTAATACCAGGGTGCCAGGTTCGATTACAGCTGCGGACGATTTTTTCTTGCTTTAGTTTCGACAGTGGTACCGAGGGCTAACCATTCAGAAACTACTGAGTATAAAAATTGCCTAGAAAAACCACAACAGCCAAAAATTGCTGGAGTCAGCTCTGCAATGTCCTTTAAAGAAGAGGCAACTAACTTTGTCTGTGGGTGTTTGACTCAATATGACACATTGTTTAAAAATCCCCTGAGAAATGTTTTCTGACAGAATAAAACAAGGAACTAGCTCTGAGGCAGTGTTGGGGCATTAACTCAGAACTTTACGGACAGGACAAATGTTCCACAAACGGACACACCGGAGACCAAAAACTTGAGGGTTGTGTGCTCTCACCTGTACTTGTCTGTGTGAACATGGCAGAGAACAATCACAAGAGCACACTAGGCTCGCCAGGATCTTGCCTCAGTGGCACAGAGTTCAACTGCTGGCAGTACCAACAACCTCCCCTTGACTTGAGTCTGGAAACTACAGCCAGATTTGCACACACTCAGTTTTCTGTAAAGGTCTGATCAGTGAGATTTTCTGTCAGCTGATTACTGATTTAAGAACTGACATCCTAGCACACATCAGGCATACCCATAGGTGCTCCGTCTTCTGCAGCAAATGACGTAAAGTGTAGATGCTAACTGTTCTCTTAGCACACTGAATGTACACATGTCGATCTCTTCCTCTCATCCATCCCTCCCTGCCGGATCTTACACCCCATTGAACAGAACCATCGGTGTACACTACTGCATCATCTAGTCCAGCCTTTCTATCTATCAGTTGTTTTACCTCTAATTCTGTCATACCGTTACACCACTCTCTACATTCTCTTCCTGACATGATAATGACCTGATGGAAACAGCTGTTGGTGTTAGTGTCGATCCATTCCTGTCCCCTGTGTATTTGCTAGACTGAGGCCGTCGTCTCAATGGTATCTTCAGCTAGTGTCATCCATGACTTTTCTCTTTTCAACCGGTCTTCTCTTAAATGGTTTAAATTATCATGCAGCGGACGCTTTTCATCATTGGTAACTCACATATAGGTCTTGGCTTGCACCAGTGGCAATCTAGACTTTACCGATGTCAGCCCAAGCATATACCTCATTGTTCTAACGGGTTGTCCCGTGTGCAATCCAAAACGATTCTCATTCCTTCATTTTCAATCTTTTCAAGCTGTGTACACTGTGAAGTAGATAGGATTATTATTCCTAGGCTATATTCGATTACAGAAAGGACCAAATGGTTGAACAAAAACACCAATAAATTATGTTCCATGTGTGTCGCGGCCATCGTCTTCTGTGCCGTCAGGTCACGCTTGCATTTGATCACAGTCTGTTCCATGTGATATCTAAAGCACAGACTGCGATCAAACGTCAAACCTAAGTATTTCAACTTATCTCTTCTTTCAACTTATCTAATCTTTCAACATTAATACCCTTCATGGAAATATTGGGCAAGTCTTCCTTCCCAATGCTGTTATTCAACGAGCACTACAAAACACTGGCCTTCTCTGGGTTTTCGCTTTGGTCCAGTGGGCTTAATTTTTGCCAGACTTGCTGTATAAATGTTAAACAAGACAGGTGACAGTGGTGATCCCTGGGGAAAGCCTGGGCAAATACGCATTGAAACATTTCTGTCAGCATTGAGAGGATCCACTTCCTTGCACCAGGTTTGTCCCATCTGTCTTGTCCTCTGCACAGTGGCTGGCCACCTGCCAAGATCATTGCACGACGAAGCATAAACTCCACATGCAGTGATCACAACAAATAATTGAACGATGTGTCTGTGAACCGAACCCGTGACATTCAAAGTGCGAGGCAAATGGCTTGACCCCCCACCCCCTCCACTGTGCAGACCCCACTGTTGTGTATGATGGTTAAGTGTTTATCTGTGTCAAATGTCTCTGGTGTCTGTGTTGACGTGTGATGCAAGGGTTCATGTCTTCCTGCAGGCAAGAGAATGGCCGAATCTACACTCAGCTGAGAAAACAAACATCAAATGGATCTATCTTCTAGAGAGAGCCAGAGCTGTCATCAAGGTTGACTTTCTTGTTTCTTGTTTCTGTGTCGACACAAACAGAGTCACACGCAGACATTATAGACACACCCATAGAGACACAGGCAGATACACACAAAGCCACACACACGGACACGCACAGCCACATACAGACACAGATACACACGCAGTCACACAGTGACACATAATGGCACACACATCACATATACATACAAACACACCCACAAACGCTCACACAGACACACACACTCAGACGACTGTGATTGGAGCTACCATGCAGGTTGGCCATAGTTTTCTGAGTCATTGAGTTAGATCTAGCCACCAGTGTAATAGTGTCACCTGCTGCTGGCCCGTGTCCTTCTAACATGGTCAAATGGTCTCCAGGGCTGGACTGATGGTTACCCCCATGGAACATTGACACCATCTGTCTGCATATCTTGGTCGCCCTAACCAGACCAGCAGACACCATCTGTCTGCAAATCTTGGTCGCCCTAACCAGACCAGCAGACACCATCTGTCTGCATATTTTAGTCGCCCTAACCAGGCCAGCAGACACCATCTGTCTGCATATCTTAGTCGCCCTAACCAGGCCAGCAGACACCATCTGTCTGCATATCTTGGTCGCCCTAACCAGACCAGCAGACACCATCTGTCTGCATATCTTGGTCGCCCTAACCAGACCAGCAGACACCATCTGTCTGCATATCTTAGTCGCCCTAACCAGGCCAGCAGACACCATCTGTCTGCATATCTTGGTCGCCCTAACCAGGCCAGCAGACACTATCTGTCTGCATATCTTAGTCGCCCTAACCAGGCCAGCAGACACCATCTGTCTGCATATCTTGGTCGCCCTAACCAGACCAGCAGACACCATCTGTCTGCATATCTTGGTCGCCCTAACCAGGCCAGCAGACACCATCTGTCTGCATATCTTGGTCGCCCTAACCAGGCCAGCAGACACCATCTGTCTGCATATCTTGGTCGCCCTAACGAGGCCAGCAGACTGTATCGCTGGAGTTGTCTGCTCAAACCCTGTTGCACCATTGCCAGACTATCTTGTTTGTGATCACAGAACTTGAAAAGTTGAAGAAACAACTGGACACAAAGACATCTCTTATATTCTGTTTTAATATCACTGATCTTTTGCATGTGCACTATATATTTCACCTTTTGCATGTGCACTATATATTTCACCTTTTGCATGTGCACTATATATTTCACCTTTTGCATGTGCATTATATATTTCACTTTTTGCATGTGCACTATATATTTCACCTTTTGCATGTGCATTATATATTTCACTTTTTGCATGTGCACTATATATTTCACTTTTTGCATGTGCACTATATATATTTCACCTTTTGCATGTGCACTATATATTTCACCTTTTGCACGTGCATTATATATTTCACTTTTTGCATGTGCACTATATATTTCACTTTTTGCATGTGCACTATATATTTCACTTTTTGCATGTGCACTATATATTTCACCTTTTGCATGTGCATTATATATTTCACTTTTTGCATGTGCACTATATATTCAACTTTTTGCATGTGCATTATATATTTCACCTTTTGCATTATATATTTCACTTTTTGCATATGACATTAATTTTGCAGAAAGATTGAGGCGGGGGAAAATGGAGTCTAATCTACAACATATGATGACATGTGTTGTGACGACATGGTTTAATTTACAATTTATGACATGTGTTGTGACAACAGATAGTCTGATTGATGACATATTATGACATGTGTTGTGACGACAGATAGTCTGAATGACAACATATGACATGTTTTGTGATGACAGTCTGATTGATGTCATATTATGACACGTGTTGTGCCGACAGATAGTCTAAATGACAACTTATGACGACATGTGTTGTGTCAGTTGGAGAATGTGACTATGCGAAAGTTCAGTCTGTTGTAACTGGAATTAACCGTATTCCCCGAATCATAAGAGGATCCCATGTGTGAGACATCTAGGATTTGCAGAAAACTCTTCACCACTGTCCAGACTCTCATCCATATGATAGTTTTTTTTGTTTAGCTTGTCCTCATCTGTGTCTGTTTACGAATCACTGTCTTCATATATTGCCTCATCCTTAGTTCCCCATCTGTGACATTTGAAATGCCACACTTCTTGAATGACTTGACAATGATTTCAGTCTTCACATTATCACAGGATCCGTTCACCCAGTTAGAAACTTCACCTGTTGTTGGTTTGTTTAAACTTAAACTTCCTGCTGAAGTCAAATTGTCCCCAGAAGACTTCATACATTAACTTCCAACTGTCTCTCATGTCTCTCTTTAAGGGGTTTTTAAATGTTAGCATCGAGTTAAGTCTTAGTGGACACAGGCAGTCCTGATGTAGCAAGTGCAAGAAGACAAGCACAAACATTATTACGGCAGGAAAGAAGATTTAATTTGTACAGTTTTTCCCTCCATTTTTATGTTGCCCCTGAACCAGCATTCCAAAATGAGGCTGTGTACCGGATATTTTCTAACGGATCATTTGGTGAAAATCTACGACCATTGCATAAAACACTGTTTTTAGACCCTATATTTTTGGGGCACATCAAGATGGTTATATGTAACCGGCTAGCATGACCAATGTTTGTAGTGATTTGGACCAAATCCAGTTGATATCTTTTGTGCTTCAGATGAAACGAGTTGATGACAGAACTGGTGCCAGGTGTTTTATCCATGTTCTGGCCTTGGAGAAAGCAGATCCTCAACAGTTGCTGGATCAGGGATTGACAGGTTCCTAGAGATCCCTGCTTCCTGCAGGTCCCCGGTTCATGTAGATCCTTGGTTCCAAGAGTTTCCTACTTCCTGGAGATTCCTAGTTGCTGAGGGTCCCAGACCAGAAATGTTTCTTTCTTGTTACTGACATTGTGTTGTTTGTGAATATTACCTTCTGTGCATTCTGATATGGTCCTGTTGTTACTGCTGAAACAGGTGCTAGTATGTATGTGTTTTTGCAGGATCAGATAATGTGACTTTAATGTTGGCTTTCTGATCTTCCATGATGTGACCAACTCTGTGACATCTTGTCTTCCACAAGGTGATCATCTCTGTGACATCTTGTCTTCCACAAGGTGATCATCTCTGTGACATCTTGTCTTCCATGAGGTGATCATCTCTGTGACATCTTGTCTTTCATGAGGTGATCATCTCTGTGACATCTTGTCTTCCACGAGGTGATCATCTCTGTGACATCTTGTCTTCCACGAGGTGATCATCTCTGTGACATCTTGTCTTCCACGAGGCGATCATCTCTGTAACATCTTGTCTTCGAGGAGGTGATCATGAACATCTTTGTGACATCTTGGAAGAACAACATGAGGTGGTCATCTCTGTGACATCTTGTCTTCCACGAGGTGATCATCTCTGTGACATCTTGTCTTCCACGAGGTGATCATCTCTGTGACATCTTGTCTTCCACGAGGTGATCATCTCTGTGACATCTTGTCTTCCAGGAGGTGATCATCTCTGTGACATCTTGTCTTCCACGAGGTGATCATCTGTGTGACATCTTGTCTTCCACGAGGTGTTCATCTCTGTGACATCCTGTAATCCGCAATGTGATCATCAATGTGACATTTGGTCATTCATGATTATATACACTGAACATCTTTGTGCCATAAATGGAAGAACAACATGGAAGCGCTAAATCTGAAAGACCTGGATATCAGACAGCTGGACATAACACAGGAGCAAATATATTCCATGAAGAAAACAGGGCAAGTTTGTACATTCTTTTATTGACGCTGCTCTTGTCTTGTCAAATCAACAAATGGATAGAAATATCACAGAGTTCACCCTGATCAGGAAACAACTTGCCATAGTTTAACCCGACCAATACACTGACCATAATCTGACCAGCAACCATAGTTTAACATATCATGTAAACAGCTTACCATCGTATCATCTGATCAGCTACGTGACCAGTAAACATATGATGATGACATCACATTACTAATCAACATATGATGGTGACATCAACTGGCCAGTAAACATATGATGGTGACATCAACTGGCCAGTAAACATATGATGGTGACATCAACTGGCCAGTAAACATATGATGGGGACATCAGCTGACCAGTAAACATATGATGGTGACATCAACTGGCCAGTAAACATATGATGGTGACATCAGCTGACCAGTAAACATATGATGGTGACATCAGCTGACCAGTAAACATATGATGGTGACATCAGCTGACCAGTAAACATATGATGGGGACATCAGCTGACCAGTAAACATATGATGGGGACATCAACTGACCAGTAAACATATGATGGGGATATCAGCTGACCAGTAAACATATGATGGGGACATCAGCTGACCAGTAAACATATGATGGGGACATCAGCTGACCAGTAAACATATGATGGGGACATCAGCTGACCAGTAAACATATGATGGGGATATCAGCTGACCAGAAAATAACGTAACAGTTCAAAAAACCACTTGTCAGTTATGAACAACAACAAAACAACAAGGCACATGAGTATTACAACAGGTTTAGCAGATTGTAAATGTGTTAATGAAGAATGATAAGATGGGTTATCATCATGGCACTCTAGACATTTCCATAGTTGCTCCGATTTCCCCTTTGACATATACAACAGCATCATGCAGTTAACAGTGCCAGTCCTCTGCTGGCTGACAGGCCTTGCCTTCTTGTAAATCCTGTATGCCTCTCGTGTCTGGCTGTGCTGACCTTCTTGTAAATCCTGTATGCCTCTCGTGTCTGGCTGTGCTGACCTTCTTGTAAATCCTGTATGCCTCTCATGTCTGGCTGTGCTGACCTTCTTGTAAATCCTGTATGCCTCTCGTGTCTGGCTGTGCTGACCTTCTTGTAAATCCTGTATGCCTCTCATGTCTGGCTGTGCTGAGACCTTTACTCATGCCATCGACCTTTACTGCCCACAACATTTCCCAGGCCTGGTGTAGTTTTAACCTACAAGGAAATAGCTCATTCTGTTAGTCACAGAAACTTGTGGCCCACAACTTTACATCTTGTCCATCAATGAAGCATAGGCCCTCAACCAACTCATTCTATCCTTCGCTATCACACGCAGCACTCGCCATGACATCTCCATCCTGTTAACTTCTCACTGTTTTTTGGTCTTCCTTTACTTCTATGCCCCTGTAGGGTTATTATCTACCCTTATTTGCCTCCTAACTTCCTTATTAGTGCCTGAGTATTTTTCCTGAGCTCTGGTGTTATCCATGCTTTATGTTTCCGTTCTTTCTTACCAAAAACTTCTACACAAGATTCATTCCAGATTCCCTTGATCTGATCCCAGCAGACTTCAGTGCTTGCTTCTTTAGCTTACTGCTGCAACACCTGGTACTTATTAGAGACTAATTGAAAATTATTATTTAACTTCTTTCTCTCCGAGATATTATACTTTTAATGTAGGTTATCTAAGAAGAAGTGATGATACTCTGACCAGGAAATCTGTTATCTGATAAGGCTAGGTTTACCTAGAGATCCATCTATGAAGCTAGGTTTACCTAGAGATCCATCTATGAGGCTAGGTTTACCTAGAGATCTACCTATGAGGCTAGGTTTACCTAGAGATCCATCTATGAGGCTAGGTTTACCTAGAGATCCATCTATGAGGCTAGGTTTACCTAGAGATCCACCTATGAGGCTAGGTTTACCTAGAGATCCATCTATGAGGCTAGGTTTACCTAGAGATCCATATATGAAGCTAGGTTTACCTAGAGATCTACCTATGAGGCTAGGTTTACCTAGAGATCCACCTATGAGGCTAGGTTTACCTAGAGATCCATCTATGAGGCTAGGTTTACCTAGAGATCCACCTATGAGGCTAGGTTTACCTAGAGATCCATCTATGAAGCTAGGTTTACTTAGAGATCTACCTATGAGGCTAGGTTTACCTAGAGATCCACCTATGAGGCTAGGTTTACCTAGAGATCTACCTATGAGGCTAGGTTTACCTAGAGATCCATCTATGAAGCTAGGTTTACCTAGAGATCCACCTATGAGGCTAGGTTTACCTAGAGATCCATCTATGAGGCTAGGTTTACCTAGAGATCTACCTATGAGGCTAGGTTTACCTAGAGATCCAACCTATGAGGCTA